AGAAAAAGTTCATTAATGCGATCCAAACAAATATTTGGATTCATAATCTGTTTAAAACAGTTACTAATATTTATTTAGGTCCTATTCTTATATTTTAACACCGTAATAAGATGTTTTCGATACAAAAAATCTCAAATCCGTCGGTATTTCCTCGGAATATTCCGAGGAAATTTCGAGGGAATGGGGCAGTTCCTCGGAAGGTCCTCGGAATATTCCGAGGAAATACCGAGGATTTGACCCCAAATTCTATACCCTAAACTTATACACAATTTCCGACGAATTTCCGAGGAAACCCTAATGTTTCCTCAGAATTTCCTCGAAAATTGTGTTTAAAAAAAAAAAAAACCTAAACTACTCTTCTTCAGACGCTGAATCATCTCCAGATGAACTCGAATCTGTATCTTGGTGAAACTCTCCAATGACAGGTTCATCCTCTTGGTGAACAATAGCTTCGTCTCCAAAGTCGGTTAAATCAACTACAAGATCAACATTTGCTAAATCTTCTAAGGCACTTAAGTTGCCGGATGTGCTTGGTTGTAGGGGTTCTTGATCAGAACTTCCCTGAACTCGACCTCTCGGGTTGAGTGATGTAACAGTGACCCATGGATCATCCCTGTTTCTAACCCAATGATACTTGATGTAACAAACCTGTAACGTAAATTTTTTTTTTTTTAAATTTTAAATTAGTAATAGTAATATACATATGAATGAATCATTATGATTAAATTGACATATATATATATATATATATATATCCTGATCAGCTTGAGAAGCAAGAATGAAAGGATCATAATATTGCAGCTTTCTTCGCGAATGTACTGATGTAACACCAAATGCATCTGTTCTAACTCCTCGATCTGCAGTGTTGTCGTACCAATCACAATAGAAAATGGTACACCGCAACCCAACCATGCCCGGATACTTGATTTCCAAAATTTCGCTTATGTTTCCATAGTACACATCATCTCCTGATGCAGACGACACACCAAAATCAGAAGTTTTACTTGAACGTCTTCTCTTTTGAGTTGTGAATGCATATCCTCGAGTACAAAATCTCGGATATGACTTCACAATATACTGTGACCCACACACCATCTCGCGTATCCAATCGTCAAATGTTTCACCTCTTGCCATACCGGCAGACACCTATACATTTGAAAAATGTTATAGCAATATAACTTTATTGGTATAAATATGTATTGATGAAAAATAATGTTTAAGGCACTCACATAACAATACATCCATCCAGCAAATTCTCTCTGCCTCAGTTCTTCAAGTTCCTCATCTGTGGCGTGTTTATGAGTGAACCGCTTTTCTGCCATGAAAATCCTGCAGAAAATATCAAATTAACGAAATTAATTAAGATTTTTTTTTTAAATATATATATATATATATATATATATATATATATATATATGTACCTCTCATATTGCAGAATATCTTCGCAGTTGGTGAGCAAATATGTTTGCAAATGATGATGTTCCTGATCAGTAAGTCGACGATCCTTTGGTTTTCCGCTAAGTCGTCCAACATCTGTGAAGATGTTTGGAACCGTAACATAATATGTTGCTCTTTCGCCCCTATCATCATGACGCGCATGTCTTCTATTTTTTGTCTGCACTTCGGCTGGAAAGTAGGACTCAGCAAAGTTTGAAGTTTCTTCATTGATCATTTGTGCGACTATAGAACCTTCGACCCTACTTAAATTTTTGACCTTCTTCTTCAGATGATACATATACCGCTCGTAAAGATACATCCATCTATACTGCACAGGACCACCAAGTTCCAATTCTCTTGCNGACCTTCTTCTTCAGATGATACATATACCGCTCGTAAAGATACATCCATCTATACTGCACAGGACCACCAAGTTCCAATTCTCTTGCCAAGTGAATAGCAAGATGCTCCATAACATCAAAAAATGTTGGGGGAAATATCTTCTCTAGGTTGCACTGGAGCACAGCTATGTTATTCTTCAAATTTTGGATACCTTCTGCAATCACTGATCTTGAGCATAAATCACGGAAGAAAGCACTTATCCCTGCAATTGCTTCATGAACCTTTCGTGGTAATAACTCCGAGAAGGCAAACGGAAGGAGGCACTGCATCATTACATGGCAATCGTGACTCTTCAGGCCGATAAACTTTCCCTCATTTCTGTCTACACAGTTAGCCAAATTGGATGCATAACCGTCTGGAAATTTCACATCGTTTGTAATCCAATCAAAGAACGCATCTTTTCCCACTGCATCCAGTCGGTATATGGGAGCAGGAGCCCTACCATTCGCATCAACATGAAGTTCGGAACGATCACATATATCGACTAAATCTAGTCTTGACTTCAAATTATCTTTCGTTTTACCTTGGACGTTAAGGATCGTGTTCATAAGATTTTCAAAATAGTTCTTCTCAATATGCATGACATCTAAATTATGCCGCAGCAGATGATCCTTCCAATATGGCAGATCCCAGAAGATACTCTTTTTGTGCCAATTATGTAGTTCTCCAACAGCATCTACTAGATAATGAACATGTCCACCAACGTCCGGCGTCCTTTCAGCACCAAAATCTCTTAGCTGTGTCAACAAATCTGCCCCACAAATTTCCGGGGGTGGACTGTCAAACACCCTCTTGTTCTTCGTAAACAAAGTCCTACTCCTACGATATGGATGATCAGGTGGTAGGAATCTCCTGTGACAGTCAAACCAACACGTTTTCCT